GATAGATAGATAGATAGATAGATAGATAGATAGATAGATAGATAGATAGATAGATAGATAGATGATAGATAGATAGATGTCCAAAATGCAATATTCAAGAAAAAATCATTCAAAACAATACTGATGTTACCTGGAAACAGAGGAGGGTTGCCAATTTTTTTACTACTGGTTCAGGGTGCGCATGCGCAGAAGCATCTGGGCGGGTGGCTGGAACCTCCCGCCACTGCTACTACTGGTTTGGCTGATCCAGGCCAAACCGGGAGCAACCCACCTCTACCTGGAAATAAGCATTTTGGAATATCTTGATCTTCATTGAAAAAGATGGTCTCATCTACACAAGATAGAATAAGAATACATTAAAATGTCTTCCCTGGGAGATAAAAAAAAGTTTTCAATTGTTTTACCACATGACAATCTTAAAGAGTCTCAAAAATACATTTATAGAGTAAAAAAAAAAAACACCAACCAGCCAGACTTCCCTGAATTATTCCCTTTTGATTCTTAAATTTGGACTATGCCCCTGAGCCATAGAAAATTGTTTTTGCCAACTGCACTGTTCTGATGTAATAGTCATTCCCAATTCCCTTTCTAATTATTAAAACCATGGTTATTCATTCTAGTTTGAACCAAGTTGATGGAATTTTCACCACCACCTTTCGTTTGAAAGGATGCAATTAAAAATGGGATGTAAACAACTGAAAAATCTGACTTGTAACTATCTCCAGCTCTGTTGAGATAAGAGGTAGAATTGGGCAGGGACTATGCTCATCTGAAACTGTGGTTTTTTTTCCATATCTGGGGTGAACTGGAAGATCTTCACTGTGGATGAGCTATTTTGCTATCTCTTTGTGCCAGAGAAAGAACTTAAGGAAGGATCTCCATCAATATCTGTCAAATGCTATTGCTGAAAACACATTTCTTCCTGCTTCTATTTCTGTCCCAATTTCCCTGCGCCACAATGCAGATGAAATGTCCATTGAAGGTGACAATAGAAGAATTTAAGAAGTTTAATTACTACAAGCCAGGAGATTACCTGATTACTGCAATAACATCTAAAATATTTTCTCGACGCTACCCGTATGTTTTCTCTGAGGCTCCAACCCACAGATTGAAAAGGTAATCATTGGCAAGTACAGAATTTGGGTGATTGAGCTTTCCATCTCCAACATTTTCCCTTTTCCCAATTCCTCACCACGACAAAGGCAGGTCATTAAGGCAGGTCATCAAGAAAGATTGCAGGAACTGGGTATGTCTAGTTTAATGAAAAGAAGGATGAGTAGAGACATGATAGCAGTGTTCCAATATCTCAGGGACTGCCATAAAGAAGAGGGAGTCAAACTATTTTCCAAAACACCTGAGGGCAGGACAAGAAGCAATGGGTGGAATATAATCAAGGAGAGAAATAACTTAGAACTAAGAAGAAATTTCCTGATAGATAGAACAATTAATCAGTGGAACAGCTCGCCTTGAGAACTTGTGGGTGCTCCATCACTGGAGGTTTTTAAGAAGAGATTGGACAACCATTTGTCTGAAATGGTATAGTTTCTTACCTAGGCAGGGGGTTGGACTAGAAGACCCCCAAGGTCTCTTCCAACTCTGTTATTCTATTCTATTCTGTTATTGCTTCTCCCAATTTGTTTAAGGAAAGGAAGGTTTCTAAGGTACATAATAATTCTTGAAAAACTGAGTGTGCAAAAGTTCCTTTTAACTTCTTCCACAAGGTCTCAACACTCAGCCATTTTGGTAGCACCCTTTGAAGATGATTCTTGCCTGATAAGGTTCTGCCTGCTCTTAAATAATTACTTGGTAGTGCGGAGAGTCAGCAGATATTTATTTTTATTTATTTATGTGCAAGTCATAGTTATATAGCTGCCCACAGTCTCATAATCAAGTAACTCAATGACTTACAGCAGAAGGACTACTCTTGAAGTTGCCCCCCACAATCTCCTCCCTTACACTGCATTGTATCCTTCCTTCCATGCTTTCCAGCATTACTATCCAACCAATGGCCTTTGACCTATTTAAAAAGCTTTTGTGACTTCCATTTTATTTTTTATTTAAATATAAGGAACGCCTTTCAAAAACCTCTACCAAATGGAAGAAGATAACGTAAGAGAAATGAAGTTCCTGAGAGACTAAGAGAAAATGGTTGAAAGGAGGAAAGAAAGAAAAGGACTTACTAGTAGAATAAAATGAAATTTAGTAAATATAGCCTATGCTATACATTCAATATAATGTGTGGGAAATAGATTAAAACTATTACTTGTGGAAAACTAACTAAATGAAATGTTTACTATATAAAATTAAATTTAAGGATATATGTTATTAACAGTAAAACAGAATAATAGATGGAAATAATATGTTAAATTTGATTAATTTGGAGAGGAAAATAATGATATTGTAAAGATATTAAGAAGAAATTAAAATTAAGCGGGAGGATATGGAATGAAAAGAAGATGACTGAAATGTAAAATGGAAACATGATGTAAAATGTATTATGCATAAACAGAAGATGTAAAGGGGGGAAAACCAAGACGACACTTTATTTATAAAGAAACTGAATGCAGTATATCACATCTTTAATGTGATCCTCTGTAGCTAAAATGTTAGCTCATCATGTGAGGTCTTTATCCTTCTTGCATAGAGGTGGGTTTAATTAAATTATGTAACAATTTTTTAAAAAAAACTTTGAAAAAAACCCACCTCTATGCAAGAAGGATAAAGACCTCACATCATAAGCTAATATTTTAGCTACAGAGGATCACATTAAAGATGTGATATACTGCATTCATTTTTGGTCGCCACGATGCAGAAAAGATGTGGAGACCCTAGAAAGAGTGGAGAAGAGCAACAAATATGATTAGGAGACTGGAGGCTAAAACATATGAGAAACGGTTGCAGGAACTGGGTATGTCTAGTTTAATGAAAAGAAGGACTGGGAGAGACATGATAGTAGTGTTCCAATACATCAGGAGTTGCCACAAAGAAGAGGGAGTCAAACTATTATCCAAGGAACAAGAAGCAATGGGTGGAAACTAATCAAGGAGAGAAATAACTTAGAACTAAGAAGAAATTTCCTGATAGATAGAACAATTAATCAGTGGAACAGCTCGCCTTGAGAACTTGTGGGTGCTCCATCACTGGAGGTTTTTAAGAAGAGATTGGACAACCATTTGTCTGAAATGGTATGGGGTTTCCAGCCTAGGCAAGGGGTTGGACTAGAAGACCTTCAAGGTCCCTTCCAACTCTGCTATTGTATTGTATTGTAGTATATGTTTGAATATAGTGCATAAACTCTGAAGCCATCAATATTCTGCAGCAAAATAATATCTAGGTCTAACAAAGGCTTTTTGGGAAGAGGAGCATCTCCAGATAGGTGATATCATTTTCTCAAGAGTGAATCCATCACTTGACTCCACCTATTAGTTACCTCCTGACTCTAAAAGGTAATATTCAGCTGACTTCATCTGCAATTTGACAGTTCAAATCTCACCAAGCTCAAGGTTGACTCAGCCTTCCATCCTTCTGAGGTGGGTAAAATGAGGACCCAGATTGTTGGGGAAAATAGGCTGACTCTGTAAACCCCTTAGAGAGCACTGTACAAGCACTATGAAGTATATAAATCTAAGCGCTATTGCTATAAGTCTAAGTGCTATTTGTCATATTTTACAACATTTGGTTTTAGCATTCCTTTTTAGCATTCTGAAGGCTTGTGAAGACCTAGCTTTTCCTCCCAAGCATTGGGTTAGGATGGTGGTTTGTGATGTGGGGATGCCTGGTCCAGTTTCTGGGGTGAAAAGTTTGTTTTGAACAATATTTTTTTAATGGTGGTGTGCAATGTAGAGTCATTGTAGATAGCCTATTATTTTGCAGTAAGTCGTCAATGTTCCGTCATACTCTGCTCTTCCTCTTGGCTGTTCATGAGATCAACCAGAGCCCAATGGTGCTACCCAACATCACCCTGGGCTACAACATCTATGATAACTTCTTCAATGCAAGAATAACCTATGAGGCCATGATGGACTTACTGTCTACAGGGCAGGAGAATGTCCCAAACTACAGATGTGGAAGACAAAAAAACCTGCTGGCAGTCCTTGAAGAGACAGATTCTGAATTCTTTGATCATATTTCTACATTCTTGGGCATCTATAAAATTCCACAGGTATGAAGCTAAATTAAACTTAATTAATGTCATAAATGTTGCAAATTCTTCAAGTTAGCCCAGAAGGCACACATTGTTCATACCTCCAAATAAATCTGGAGGCAGAGAGTAGACACTGAAAGACCTGAAATAATTTTCTTTCTATTAAATGTATGTATGCATGTATTCAAAGGGACGTGGTGGCTCAGTGGCTAAAATGTTGAATTTGTCAATCAAAAGGTTGACAGTTCGGCGGTTCAAATCCCTAGCACCGTATGTTCAGTGAGTTCTCGTTACTTCTCCTAGCTTCTGCCAACCTAGCAGTTTGAAAGCACACAAAAATGCAAATAGAAAAATAGGAACCACTTTGGTGGGAAGGTAACAGTGTTTTGTGTACCTTCAGCATTTAGTCATGCCAGCCACATGATCACAGAGACATCTGAATGGTGCTTCTGTGTTCATTCCCCTACTAAATCATGAATGTTCCAATGCAACTATCTTACCAGAATCAATTGCAGAATAGAATAGAATAGAATAGAATAGAATAGAATAGAATAGAATAGAATAGAATAGAATAGAATAGAATAGAATAGA